TTGGGAAGTGTGCCCTGATCCTCTGCTTTCTGAAAGAGTTGGCATAAAATTGGCATTGTTTCTTCAGCAACTGTTTGTTAATTCACCTGTGACACATTTAGGGGTAGAAGTATTTGGGACAAGGTATTTTTTATCACAAATTAAAAAAAATAATAATTTCTATTTATTGAAATAACTTTATTAAAATTTCAGCATCTTGAATAAAATATAGAGCTATTTATATTTTCTACTTCTTCTTTTGTGCATTTTAGAAAGTTTTGTTGTTTAAGGAATTTGTTCAGTCCATCCAAGGTGTCAAATATCTTGGCACCAAATTGTTTATAATATCTCACATTATATTTTTAAGGTCTTTATGGTCTGTAATGATGATCCACCCTACTTTCATTTATGATATTGGTTATTTGTATTTTCTCTATTTTTTTCTTTATCAGTTTTATTAAACTTTTTAGTAAACCAACTCTGATCTTGCTGATTTTCTGTAAGGTTTATTTTATCTTTCTTTGTCTTGTGCTTTTTTATTTATTATTATTATTATTATTTCCATATTCTATTTAGTCGAGTTTAATTTACTACTTAGATTCTTGAATTATATGCCTATATCATTGTATTACACTTTTTTTTTTTCTAATACGGGATTTTAAAGCTCTACATTTCTCTCTAAAGATGATATTGCTTAATCTGACCCCACACATTTTGGTATTTTATGCTTTTATTTTTATTCAGTTTGAAATATTTTAAAATTTCTTTTGTTATTATTTTTTTTATTCATTAAATTTGTTAGGGTCACATAGATTAATAAAATTATATAGGTTTCAGGTGTACAGCTCTATAATATATAATCTGTATACTGTATCGTGTGTTCTGCCATCATTATTTATCCCCCCTTTACCCCCTCCTACCTCCTCCCACCCCCCTTCCCTCTGGTAATCACCATACTGTTGTCTGTCTGAGTTTTGTTTTTGATTTTTTTAATCCCTTCACCTTTTTTGGCCAGTGGGTTATTAATAATAGTTGAACTGAATTTCCAAATTGGAGATTTCCTAGTGTGTTATTTTTATTCATACTTTGGAACCACTGTGGTCAGAAATTATGTTCTAGATCATTTCAGTCCTTTGACATTTATTGGGACTTGTTTTATGACTCAATGTGTGATCTGTGTTGGTGAATGTTTTCATTTGCTTTTGTATATTTTCCTATTATAATTACAATATTCTGTAAAGCCAATGAGGTCCATTTGTTGGTAATATTCAAATCTTCTTTATCCTCTGTGATTTTTTTTTTTCTTCTGGTTTTGTCAATTACTGAGAAAGGGGTGTTTTTTACATTTGTTTGTTTTTTGTTTTTAATCCTCACCCAAGGATGCTTTTCCCATTGATTTTTTTTTTTTTTTTTTTTTTTTTTTGAGAGAGAGTGTAAGTGAAGGAGGGTGAGGGAGAGAGGAAGACAGAGAAAGAAACATCAGTGTAAGAGAGACACATCAGTTAGTTACCTCCACATGCGCTCCAATCTGGGCCAGGCATCAAACCTGCAACCCAGGTACATGCCCTTGACTGGGAATCAAACCTACGACCCTTTGGTGCAAGGGCTGACACTCCAATCACTGAGCCACACCAGCCAGGGCTGAGAAAGGAGTGTTTTGCCTCATGTATTTTGAAACTCCTTTATTATACTCACACATATTTAGAATTATTATGCATTCCTGATCATTTTGTTTTTATCATCATGAAATGACATTCTGATAATAATCTTTACCTTGAAGTCTATGTTGTCTGATAATAAATAGAACCATGTCAGCTTTGCTATGCTTAGTGTTTGAATGACCAATTTATTTCCACTGGAGTCTTTTAATCTTGCTCACTTTTACATGACATTAGTTTTACTGAACTCTTGTAGGAGAGAGGTGAATGGGAGAATATTCCTAGCTCTACTGCTTCGGCACTTCTTCTTTTGTTCTTACGCACAATGAGTGTTGCTTTTACACCAAGACCTCATGCTGTCTGTGTTTTTCTCCCCTCTGGTGTATCTGAGTTTTCTCTGTCCTTTGGCCTTGCACTTATCCTACAGGATGTGAATTCTACTCCAGCATTTTCTCTTGTGCAGAGCTTTGCCCTAAGGAGTTTCTTTTGGCTCCTGCTGCAAGGTCGGGTATCCCACACTGCGCCTACTCTTTCGTCCCTTCTCCTCCACGCATCGGAGCGGGTCAAACCCTTCCCGTTACAGCAGCGGTTCTCACGTGGACTCTTACACTTTTCAGAAGTACCTGTCTGTGGTCCAGGGGTTCTCATGTTTTGAGGGGTGTCTCCTCTTGCCCCTTCCTTTACAGATGATGTTACCCATGGGTTTAGTGCTGTCTGTGGTCTGTCTCCCCTGTTTGCTTTTTGAGGTTTGTGGGCATGCCTGGCACCACGCTTTTGTGGGTATTTTTCTGTGAGCTCTGATTTTAGTATGTTAGTTGCTCTCTCTGCGTGTGGGGATTCAGGGAAATCCCAAAACAGTTCTACTGCTAAAGTCCTGTTTCCAGAACTCTGTGGCTTCTGTCGTTCGTGTTGCCAGCGTATGTTTGTACAGTTCGGTGTTCGTAGTGGAAGAAGTGGGGTGCTGATCTTTCACAGAAAGGACCCTAAGAATCCAGGTTAGCAGGTTCTTTGTAGTTGTCTCTTCTTGTGGCTTTTGCATTTTCTTAGAGTTATAACTACGGTTCTTTTCACTACTGGCTCTTAGCGTGCCAGGCTTATTTCAAAAGAGTCTCATAGAACAGCCTGTGCAGCAAGGAAGGCCCCAGATAAGACATCTGTCCTCTTTAGTGACCTCGTTTTGCTCTATGGTGGATGGGATCCTTTTTGTTTCAAATTTACCCAAAGGAGGTAATTCAGAAAGGATGGAGTCTCTCCCTCCCCTCTATCACCTGAGTGGGTGTCTTTCACGTCATGTAAGTGAATGAGCTGAATGCTGACTAATGCTGGACAGGATTATAGGACTGAAATACCTCTGGAATACAAGGTACTTTGATGACTTGTAAAAATCACTGCCCTATCATTTGCTTAGTTATTTGTCAAAAGTGTTTACACCTAGTTCTGGGAATGGGGTGGTTGAACACAGTTGAGTCAGCACCCATGATCCTCAGATAAGTCTTACTCTCTGGTTACACTGTTAGGTGACACTTGTTCTTATACCATGGCCACTTCCAAAGAAATGGCTGTGGACAGAGGTTTTCTTCAGTGACAATCATGCTAATCCTCAGTTTCACCGATGACTTCAAATCAATCGTAGGACACTCATTTGTCGCACTGATTCATCAAGTGTTCCACAGAGAAAACTGGCCTGGTGTGGTCTGTAAGAGTCAATTTTATAAGGCGTAGTTCCCAGAGAAATGCTGAAAAAGACGAAATGGATAGTCCAAGGACTTCGGACCTAATTTCAGCCATACGGTCATAAATAGTCGTTGGGCATATAAGGAGAAAGACTGGCTTTCCCAGGAGGGAAATATACTTTATCAGTTTTAATAAAATATGACCCAGATATGTGTGAGACTGTTTCTGCCGTCCACCCTCCTGGCAGTCCTCACGTTGTCCACACATGCTGGGGATGCATTGTGATGTCATTAGCATAGCTTGTGGCAGCCAGACTCACATACCACATCCATCTCCAGCCTCTCTTTCTCAGGGGTCAGTGGCTCTCCTGTGTCATGTTCCTTCTCCGCTAACTAGAGAGATCTAATGTCCACAAGCCACACTTTGGATCCGGTGGGTGCTGTCATCTCTCCCCACAATCTAAAAGCTGGTTTCCGTGGCAACCATACTGCTCAGAGACAGCCATAGGGCAAGAGTGAAGAAAGAGCCAACCAGCCACCCGTGGGTAACCCATGGTCAGGGTGGCTGAGGCCTTTTGGTCCTGTGTCTGATGCTCACATCTCTTTCACCTTCTGAGCAAATTTACCCTACACATCTCACTTGTAATGCCCTTCTCAATGAGAGCATTTCCATATTTTTCATAGTAGGGATTTCAAATCAGCTATATAACAAGCTGGATACATATATGGATGTGTGTCAGTGTATATATGTGTGTACATTTTTATTGTTGACACTATTATACACACAGATGTAAGCAAATAGAGCAATATGGCAAAACCAAGTTGCCTTAGAAGCTTTTACTGCAGAGTAAATCAGACTTGAGCTTTTGTTGGGCAGGAGTAGAGTGGCCTTGGGCCAAAGTGGAGAGGATGGGGGGAGGGGCGGGTTACTGGAATGCCACTTCTTGCAGTGACTCTGGCCACACTCTGCCCAGGTTCCTTCACCATGACATTCCGGCTTTATTGGCTTAGGGCTCTTTCAGGGTGTTGCTCACTGGGATGAAAGACTTTTGTTAAGTAATAAGTCTCTCATTTACTACTTGTGTTTCTTTGTCAAGTGACCCTTTTGAAACTCTTCTGAAATTAATGTAGTTGTACTGTGAAGCCACCTCTGAGTGGCCCCTTCTGGAGACTATCAGTCTGCTGTCACGGGGCTGGCTGCCCTGTGTCCACTCACTCATGGGGACTTTGTCGGCATCTCCTGGGACTTTGCCCCACCCCCCCACTCTCCCAGCGATATAGGAAGCCAAATAGCATATAAGCAACATTATATATATATATATACTACATATATTAGTTTGGGGGAAAATGACTGATATTTTATTTGTTTAGAGTGTAGAAAGGAAGTATAGACCCATCACTCCCAGTATGTCCCAGCTTGACTACAGGCTCATTTCTGAAATGTGTAGAACACACAGTGATCCATTTTGAAAACAGAATTGGACCAGGGAGCGTTCTCAGTATAGGGAGGGGTTCTGTCAGGTGCTACTACCTGTATCCAGAACTCTCCCATGAAACCAAGGAGGAGCTTGTGTTTTCTCGGTGGTAATACCCGTGCATGAATGAAATCAACCTTTGGATGGAGAACGAATATCCCATATTGGAAAGTAATCATCGTTTTTATGCTTTGTGTCTGTGTCTGCTTTGACAGCTTTTTGGAGACCACAGCCTATTTCTTCATGAAACCAAAAATTGGAGAGAAGGAGGTGTCCCCAAATGTTTTTTTCAGTATCTGGCATGAATTCAGCTCTGACTTTAAAGACTTTTGGAAGAAAGAGAACAAACTTATTCTACAAGAAAGGTAGGTGTTTTTCATTTGTACAATGGCATTTTAAAACTGGTGTTTTATTAGGTGTAACTCCACCAGGATTGCCAACTTTTATAGCCTGAATGAAAAACTAGATGGCCCTCACGCTGGGGTATCATGCCTAAGAGGGTGCTGAGGTTTGGCAAAATTTGAAGTTTGAGTGAAAGAGTCGGCACAGAGGCTAAGATGCTGCAGAGAGTCGGCTGGGTGTTGGTTTGCCAGGACACCTGTCTGGTAAAACAACTTCTGTGGCGAGCAATCAACACAAAAGTAGATCCTTAAGAGGAGTGGAACAGCCCTGCTGAGCTGATAAACCCACTCACCTCACAAGACCAAAGCAAAGGCTAGAAAGGTAAGAAGAATTGGTTTGGTTTTGTTCAGTTTTGGGGATAGTGTCAAAATTTCACTGTTCGTATAACAATTTCTTCCCAATGTCACCAAGAAACACCTGATCGATATCGTTTAAAAGAGCTTTCAAGATTCTTATAGAATTAGATTACATTTCCAAAAGTAAATCTTTGCAGGAATGAAGGGAATTTTCTCCTCTTAAGCACTGAACTAAAAAGTCTCCGTCGCTATGATTATGCAACTCCGTGGAGGCATGTTAAATATTAATTCGGGAAGAAAGCTGGCCCGCCCAGGGCAGCATCCCCAGAGAGCTGGATCTAGTTGGAGAATGAAAAGGAAACATAATCTACATTGTAAACCGAACACTAATATTGAAACCACTTGGTATCCTTCCCAGCATCTTTGCGTTGACAGTGACTTTGCTTTAGATTTTTAGAACACTTATATCCTAGGGGACTTTGCTCATCACACTACCACATTCCACAATTTTCTGCTTATTATCTTTATTTGGGTCTTACAAATCCAGGATCACCCACCTAGTTTGCATCCGTAAGTAGATTCTGATACATCCTTAAATTAGGTGAAATCGATTACTAAGATTTATGGACCGCGCACACTACGCCTGACTTGTGCTAATTCATATAATTACTCAGATGCCATAACTTTGTCACAGAAGAAACTGTGCCTCAGTGAGTGTGGATGAAAAAAGAGAGCAGTTCGATCAGAAGGAAAACACTTTAAACATCTGCTCTGAGATAATGAGCTTATTCTACTTGAAAATGTATCATTAGAGGTTAATATAAAAGATGGTTTTAATCAAAAGTTTATGCAGGTGAGAGAGGAGAGATCGATGCTTCAAAATAAGGACATTTGAATTCTTTATTCACTCTGACTTAGCTATAAATTATCAACTTTTTACCAAAAAGGGCTTGCTCAAGTTAGAAAATTGTAAAAAGGGAACGTTTTCTTTTTCTCTGTTGGCATATCACACACAGGTTTTGTTCATGAACCTTACTGGATCCCCACAAGCCTATTTTCATCTGTAATCTAAACCTGTCCTCCTGGAAAAGGGGCTGAAACTCATAAGGTGCAAAACCGAGATTAGTACTTCACCTTCCGCGGTCTTTGCATGGTGTCCGGGATTCGCGTCTCAGGAGGGTGGCAATGGTGGGCTAGAGTCATCAACCAGGTGAGACTGATGACGTGGTCGTTTCGGAGCACCTGTTCTGATCAGGTCAGTAAGGACATGGCAGCAGAAGGCTGGTGTCCTGTGCTCGAGCCCCCGGAGGTCCTGGGACACAGGCAGACACTGATCTCTGTTCCTGCGTAGACCCGTAGGGGCTGCTGATGCACCTGGAGACAGTCCCCCGAGACGCAGTTGTGTTTCTGCAGAACGCTCTCGAGCACGGTCTCCTGCGTGTGTGTTATGCATTTGACCTGACCAGAACTTGCTTTTCCTCTCACAATAGATAGAATGGCAAACAGACCCGCGCGTGTTTTCGTACTTCACTCTGTGCTGCCACGTCCTAGAGACGAGCGGCCGCCGCGTGAGTCCCTCTCGGTGACTGCTCTGCGCTCTGGCAGCGGGGGGCACGGGCAGGTGCCGAGCCCACGGCGGGCGCCTCCTTTTCCAAATCCCTGGCTTTCAGTAAGGGGCTGAGGAGGCGGCGTGGGAGTGACTGCTCCGTGGCCCTTTGACCCCTGAGCTAGATACGTCTCTGGGCAAATGGGCCGCTGTGGAGTCTGTTGTTCTGACTCGGTTGTAGAAACTCGGGTCCCTTCCCTTGGCGCAGACCAGCAGTGTCCAGGGGACAGTGGAAGGGTGCAGCCCCTGGTTCAGAAACCGGTAACAGCTTCAAGATGGCAAAACGTTCGGCCGCGTGCAGAGCCCTTCTGAGGGCGAGGCCTGTCTGACTGCAGTGCACCCCGAGAAGCTGGCCTCGCCCAGTGTGAGACCTTTCCTTCTGAGGGCGAGGCCTGTCTGACTGCAGTGCACCCCGAAAAGCTGGCCTCGCCCAGTGTGAGACCTGTCCTTCTGAGGGCGAGGCCTGTCTGACTGCACTGCACCCCGAGAAGCCGGCCTCGCCCAGTGTGAGCCTGGGTCTCATTCTCTGTAGTTAAATGGGAGGAGGGATGTGTCAGGACGTTGCTAGGAAACAAGTGCGGTCAGGTCGGGTCTGGGATGGGCACCGCCAGTGTGAGCAGAAACTCAAGGAGCAGGGCTGACGCCTAAAATGGAACATCGGTTCCCCAGGGGCTCAGCCCCTCCTCCGAGTGCCTGTAGCATTTACTGTCTGTGCACTCTGTTTGATAGTTAGTCCCCTATCGCCTAGTGTGTCTGTTTCTATTTCATGCCATAACTTATTTCTTGATATTTATTCCCCAATGTCTTCGTGCTGGTGTGGTCCTCACTGTGCTAAGCCCCAACGCTGTTCCCGCCTCAGTGTCTCCACAACTATTGGCCGATTTGACTCGTGACATCACTGCATTTGACACAGACTTGGGAATAAGAACTTAGACTAGAAAGTAATGGGCACGTTTCTTTGCATACCGTAAGTTTAGCATTAGATCATCATTGGTTTCTATTAAATTATCATTAAGTACGATGGTAATAAAAACTCTGCTCCAAATACCTTAAGCAAAAAGACGTGATTTATTTAGACAGTCCAACCACGTGAGGGCAGGATGCAACTTGCCTGTGGGCTGCCTCAGTGCAGAATCCTAGCGCAGTCTGTAGGGTACTCAGGTGTGTTTCTGCCTCTCTGTCTCACTTTCTGCCTTTTTAGATGCCCTCGCTCCTCCTCCTCCTCCTTTCTCTTCTCTCTTTCTCTTTCTCTCCCCACTCTCTTCTATAGTTTAGTTTAATTTCCAAGTCAGGCTGTTTCTTTAAGAGTGGACCCTTGGCCATCGGTCGCAGCCATGGCTTCCACAACCCAGAAGAAGAGAACATGCTCCACCATCTAGAAAATATCAAGGAATAGCTCCAGATGAGTGTGCCCACCTTTGGACCCACAGTGGCCTGAGGCATGGGGCACCTTGTGTAGCTGAGCAGGTCATAAACCCAGCTCTGCAGCCAGAGAGGACAGTGGTCATGATTCACAATTCCATTCATGGCAGTGTCATTAGGATTAGGAAAAAGATCTTTCCCATAAGAAGTAAACATCTACCACCTCTGACTTACTAAGCCTTTAAAGACAACCTGGTGATTTAATGGTGTCGTTGACATTTCCATTTCTAATCAAGATGTTCTTGCTCTACTTTGGAATTCATAAATTGAATAATGGATTTAAGATTTTTTTTTTTTTTTCATCCTCACCTGAGGACATTTTTCCATTTTTTGTACAGATAGAGCAGGAGGGAGAGAGAGGAAGAGAGAGAGAGAGAGAGAGAAACATCGATGTGAAAGGGACACATCGAGTGGCTGCCACCCGCACGACCAACCAGGGCCGCGGACAAACTGCAACCGAGGTACATGCCCTTAGCGGGAACCGAACCCGGGTCTCTCAGGACCGCAGGCCGACGCTCTAACCGCTGAGCCAAACTGGCCAGGGCATTTCTAATCAAGATGTTCTTGCTCTACTTTGGAATTCATAAATTGAATAATGTATTTAAGATTTTAAGTATTGCATACATTTCCCTTACCCCATTATTCCTAATTGGCATCTGGTAGTAAAGTGGTAGTAACGTTATATTTTCTGCCTTTGTCCTAATGGCTCCAATGTCCAGTGGTTTAGCAGATATATTTCTTAGAATGGTGAATTTCTACACATCCGTGTTGCAAAGGCGTGCTTTCTAATCGATGTGGTTTGGAAAGATGAAGGATTGTTGCGTTAGGTCTTCCCCTTACTGGCTTTAGACATGCAATCATGCTTCCTAACCTGCAAAGCGGAGGTGGTGGTGCCTGTCCGGTGCTGTTCTCACAGCAAAGCAGCGTCTGTGTCGACAGGCTAATGGCTGTTCTCCAGCATTTAACGTAAATGATGTCCTAATCGTGACTGCCCACCTACAAGGTGATATGACATTAATAAGGTGTGTTAAGTATTTTAAGAATATAATCTGCAAATATAAGCTATTATTGTGACTCGGCTACTTTCTTGGTTAGGTAAAATGCCAGGGATTCACTTTTGTTTGAAAATGTTAACGCAGACTATCCATGTTTTGTGTGATGCTATACGAAGGAACTCCTATTTTGATGCTTTAGACAACTGACTGCTTGGTTTTGTCATGAGTTAGAAAAAAAAAATGTGTTTTTTCCCCCCATATAATTGGAACTAAGCATATACAATTGCTAATAAAAAAAAATCCTTCTCTATAAAGAAATGTAGAGCCCTGGCCAGTTTGGCTCAGTGGTTAGGGTGTTTCCAGTGGACGGAAGGGTCGCGGGTTTGATTCCGGTCAAGACCCATGTACCTGGATTGCAGGTTTGATCCCAATTTGGGAGGCAGCCAATCAGTGTGTCTCTCCCACATAGATGATTCTCTCTCTCTCTCCCTCTCTCTCCCTCCCTCCCTTCCACTCTATCTAAAACTCAATGGAAAAATGTCCTCTGGTGAGAATTAAAAAACCATAAAGAAATAAAAAATAAAAGTAAATGTAGACTCGTTATCACTGAGCAACACAGAACATGTAAAAATAATTTTGAAAAA